TCTGCCTCTCCCCGGCTCCAGGCCGACCTTGGCTTCTCCAGGAAACACTGAAGCGCCCAGCCCATCGCCATGGCAACGCAGGCCGGGCCGTCTCCTCTTCAGGGATGATTGACGTAGGGGGTCTGGCCCAGGCCAACCGCCGGGGAGGGCTCACTGCCCGGGATTAACTCCTCGGGGCCTAGAGTTGGGAAGCCGCGGGGCGCAGGGGCAGGGAGGCTGCACTGGAGCCTCCCCGACCAGGAAACGCTTAGGCGTCTGCTGTGGCCCGAGAGGGGACTGCCCTCCCTGCGGGGTGGACAGACACAGGGCTCAGAAGCGTCCCTTCCCCACCCTCCGGGAGTGGACCAGAGGGGCCACCTGGGAGCGCAGCTGCTCCAGGCCATTGTGTTGGCGAGCGGCGGCGGGGTGGGGGCCAGAGCCCAGAGGGGACCTGGCAGTTTTGAACTGAGAAAGTGGCACAGGAGTGGGCACGAGGGCTTTTGAAGGATTTGTTCTGGGCCTTAGGAGTGCTCTCTGTCGCGGTGTGCTTGGGACCTCTCGCCTCCACCCCCTTCCCCATTTTAGGGCCCTGGAGGGAGGCTTGAAGCTGATCTCAGAGAAGGGGCAGGAAGGGGCCAGCCCGCTGCCCCACACAGGCAGGGAGGATTTCTCCAGGGGCCCTGCTCCAGCCAGGGGGCCCCTTGCAGCAACACCTGAGGGCAGGAAACGCTGAGACTTGCAGGCAGAGTGCCCGCCTCTCTTGAACCCACGTGGCTGCAGTTCATGCCACAAACACCAGAGTGTGCCTGTGTTCTGGCTTGGGCCAACCCCGGAGAGCCTATCCCCTTCCTCTTGGGATTCGGGGCCTGGCCTGGACCATACAGACCCAGGCCAGGAGAGAAGTCCTTGCCCCCTGTCCCCACGTGTCCTCTGCCCTCATAGACTGAGCCTCCCTCCCCACCTCGTCTCCCCCAGAGCACACAGGTCTAGGACTGGGAGCCAGCCAGAGTGGCCTGTCAGCCTGTCCCAGGCCAGGTCTGGGCTGCACCAGAGTCTGGCAGATAGGAGGCCCCCGCTGTAGCACCCTGTCTTCTGCCCTTCTCCATCTGTGGAGAGGCTGGGAGTCAGGGATCCCACCCCAGAATCCTGCGCTTCTCCCCGATCCTGGAGGCGTGGCGAGGCGGGCCCGGGGTCCGCAGCTGCTCTAAGGAAGAGCCTTCAGGCGAGCTCCTCTTGAAACTGCTGTAGATCTGTGTGTGTATTTGGGGTGTCCCGGGTAGAGCTGGGAGCCAGCTGAGCTGCCCTGCCCTGCTGGCCAGGATGACACAGGGCCAGTTGGGATGGGTCTGGAGGAGGGGGCAGTCCTGTGCGAGATGAGAGCTGCTCTGGGTCCAGGGTCTTCAGATCCTCAGGCCGACAACCCCAGTGCGCACTGTCCAAGGCCAGCTCCCTGTCTCATGGGGCCCGCCACCTGCAGAGAAGAGGGGGCACACCCCAGGCCTAATAGGAAGTGTCCAAGTGTCCTGACCTGGCCCTCTCGGTTTCCCGCACCCCTACAGAGCGCTGCAGCCCCCAGCCCTGTGATGGGGAGCATGGCCCCAGGTGACGCAATGGCTGCAGGCCCCATGGCGGCAGGCTTCTTCCAGGTATGGCCAGGGCTGGAGTCCCCTGGCCTCCAACTCTGGGTGGGGGTCCCATGTGGGCAGACTTCATGAGGCCAGCAGGCTGGAGTTGGGTGGGAGGGTCCTCTGTGCGGCAGGTGTGCCCGGCTGAAGGGCCCAAGTATAGTGGAGGGTGAGCATCTGTGCGATTGGCCTGTACATGAGTAGGCACAGGGTGCTTGGGGATGCTGTGGCCACAGTGGTCCTGGTGACCGCTGATGCCCGAGTCTTGCCCTCAAGCCTTCCCACAGGGTCCCTGTCCCATCGGCTGGCCCACCTCTCCACCTCTGTGGAGCCTCTCCCTCCTCTGCCAGACCCAGCAGGGCCTCGCTTCCCGCAACCCACCCAGTTCTGTCCTCCTAGGGCCCCCCCGGCTCCCAGCCGCCCCCCTACAATCCCAACGCCCCCACGATGGGGCCTCACGGTCAGGTAAGGAGCTGTGGCGCCTGCCCCGCACACACAAATCCCCACCCCCAGCGCCACCCCCTCCTGCCCCCATGGCATGGTGCCCTGGCCGGCGCCAGCTGGCTGGGCTTTGCTGGCTGGTTCTGGAGGAGGGGTCTCCCCAGGCCGGGGGCCCCGGTACAGCAGAAACAGTGTAGCTTTAGGGGTAGAGGGTGGGGGAAGCTGCTGATCCCCACCCACCTCTTCCAGCCCTTCATGTCACCGCGCTTCCCAGGGGGCCCCCGGCCCACCCTGCGGATGCCGAGTCAGGTGAGAAAGGGATGAGGGGAGGCGGGGGCAGGAGCTGGGCCGGGGAAGGAGCACCCCACACTCAGCGCTGCCGCACCCCCTCCGCAGCCTCCCGCGGGCCTCCCTGGCTCCCAGCCCCTCCTCCCTGGCACCATGGAGCCCTCCCCACGAGCCCAGGGTGAGTAGGGAAGCTCTGCCCCCTGTCCGCCCATTAGTCAGAATTCCAGTTCTAGGCGCTCCAACCTTGCTGCCTCCCAGCTGTCCACACTGGGGAGTGGTCCAGGTCCAAGCCCCTTCCCTCTGCCCCACCCCAGGGCATCCGAGCATGGGCGGCCCAATGCAGAGGGTGACACCTCCTCGGGGCATGGCCAGCGTCGGGCCCCAGGTAAGAGGGAGCCCTGGTGGGTGGGGCCCTCAGACTGTCCCCGGTCTGCCCCTCACCGCCCCTTTGCCTCCCCAGAGCTACGGAGGTGGCATGCGGCCCCCACCCAACTCCCTTGCCGGCCCAGGCCTGCCTGCCATGAACATGTAAGGCCCCCGGGACCCCAGGAGTGTGCAGCTCGCAGGCTACCACCAGCTTCATGGCTGGGTCAGCTGGGATGGGCCCTGAACCCTCAGGACAGCCTTGGATATTGTTTATTTCATGGCCACTGTTGAGTGGGGAAACAGGACTAAGGTAGCAAGAGTTCCCCAGGGCCAGTGATGGGCTGGGATCAGAACCTGAAAGCTCATGCTGGCCACGTTAGCAACGTCTGCTGCTCTGCGGCCTGCCTGGGGACACAGTGGAGCAGGGTGTGGGGGATGTGGGGGTGGTGGTCATTCATGTGGACTAGCCCCAGGGTCTGTCACCCACGGTCTCTTCCAGGGGCCCAGGAGTTCGAGGCCCGTGGGCCAGCCCCAGTGGAAACTCGGTGAGTCTAAGGCTAGGTGGGCTGGAATGGGGTGGGGTGGGAGGGGCACTGGGTCAGCTGCCTGGCCGACTGCTCACAGCTGCCCCTGTCCCCAGATCCCCTACTCCTCCTCATCCCCCGGCAGCTACACGGTGAGTCTGAGCAAGGATGTGTCACCCGGGCAGGGGCTGCGGGATGGCAGATGAGGGGCCATCTCTCACAGTCCTTGTCTCCCTCTGTGTGCAGGGACCCCCAGGAGGAGGTGGGCCCCCTGGAACACCCATCATGCCTAGCCCTGGAGGTACAGCCTAGACAGGGGTGGGGTGTGCTAGGGTGGGTGTGCTTGGGGGGAACCCCTCACACTCAGCACCCTTCCTGTTCCCTGGTCTCCCCCAGATTCCACCAATTCCAGCGAGAACATGTACACCATCATGAACCCCATTGGGCAGGGCGCCAGCAGGGCTAATGTGAGTGGGGGCTTTTGGGGGTGCTTCTTGAGGCGGTGACCCCACTCGGAGGATGGGTGGCCCGAGTCCCACACTATCCCCATGCCTGCAGTTCCCCATCGGCCCTGGCCCGGAGGGCCCCATGGCCGCCATGAGTGCGATGGAGCCACACCACGTGAATGGATCCCTGGGTGAGTGGAATTCCCTGCTCCCGCCCAGGCTGCTTCCGGCCCGGGCCCACGCGCCCCTGGCTGCCTCCCCCCACCGCCAGCCTGTCTGGTGGAGGCATCGGGTGGCGCCCTGAGCCCCCCAGGGGGGCCGCTCAGTGATGGGGGCTGACCCGAGCTGGGGGGATCCGGCCACCAAACCAGGGGATGCACTGACCCAATCCTCCACCTGGCCTCAGTTCTGGGGTTTCTTGCGGGGTGCGGCGGCGGGGGGAGGCTCCCAAGGGTCGTTGGACCTTGGAGGCCGGGGGGGCCTGGCACCGGCATGTCTGAGCTGGTGTCCGTGTCGGTTCGCAGGCTCGGGCGATATGGACGGGTTGCCGAAGGTAAGGGGGCCGCACTCCTGCTAGGGGTGGGTTGCGGGGGGGCCCCGCAGGGGTGGGGGGCGGGGCAGGGAGTTCTGCGCTGACGGCGGCCGCCCCCAGAGCTCCCCCGGCGCCGTGGCCGGCCTGAACAAGGCCCCAGGCACCCCGCGGGACGACGGCGAGATGGCGGCCGCCGGGACCTTCCTGCACCCGTTCCCGAGCGAAAGCGTAAGCGACTGCGTCGACTCTCCCCCCGCGGCGGCGTCGGGCCGGAGGGGCCTGGCGGGCAGGCCCCGGCGGGGCGGCCGGGGGGCCAGAGCAAGACCGTGACCGCGGCGGGCCAGGTGGGGGGGCGGCCGCGGCATCCTTACCCTCCTCCCAACCTCTCTCCATCCCCCACCACCTCCCGCTCCTGTTTCACCATCCAGATCCCCTCCGTTCCCACCCCGGGACCCGCGCCCAAGGGCAGCCTCCCCACGCATTGCCCCTCCCCCATTGCCTCCTGTCCCCGCCCTGTGTCTGCCCAAGACCCAGCCCTACCCTGTCCCCACATTGTCCCCTGGGGGCGGGTCCCAGCCTCTTCCGGAGCTAAGCCCGGCCCCTGCGCGCTGCCCCCTCCTCTCTCCGCAGTACTCGCCAGGGATGACCATGAGCGTGTGATGGGGCGGCAGCCCCGGGCCTCTGCGGGCCTAGGCTTCTGCCCAGCGCCCCTGCTCAGGGCGAGGGGCTGAGGTCACACCTCGGGCACCTGGACTCCTGGCCAATCAAGGCTTACCCAGCTGGGAGGCCCCACATGAAAGACTTTTATCATTTTATTAAAAACGCAAGGACCTCAGAGACGTTCTTTTCTGTATGGACCCTTCCTGCCATTTGTATTTTGTTCCAGAAAGAAGGGCTCTTTGGGGGGGGTCCCCTCTCCCCAGGACGTCAGGGGGTGGGCCCCATCAATAAATGGAACCTGGTTTTGGTTTTTGGTAGCGTGTCTGATTCCCTCTTTGGTCTTCGACCACCACGCTGTCCACCTTGTGGTCTTGTTTCCCACCCCACCCCCCATCTAGCCCCACATTCGACTGAGGCTGTGGGTTCTGGGCTCTCCCTGGGAGTTGGGGTGGCAACCATGGGCAGAAGGATTGGGACGGGAAGCTGGGCGCTCAGAGTTGGGGAAGTAGAGGAAGGCAGAGCCAGGTGCCAGGCCCCAAGAACCCCAGGTGGAAGGACAGCTGAGAGTGGCAGCGGCTTTATTGTCTTTGGGGCAGCCTGGAAAGGTGGGGTCCTGGGGGACAGCGGGGAGGAAGGGCTGGGAAGCTGTGTGACAGGGGCCTCAGGTGGTGGGCATCTGGGGTTCCTCCACTTGTGGGTGCCCATTGGCATCACCGGTGCAGCCGTTGGTGGAAGCAGGTACCGGTCCTTTCTTTGACACAGGGCAGGTGGCAGCCAGGGGTCCAACTTGCTTGAGGCTGGGCCCTGGGCGCTCCATCTTGTGCTCCAGGAGCATGTGGTTCTGTGGCGGGAGCCCCACGCAGGCCCTGGAGAGGCCACACAGCTCAGCAGAGCCAGACACCGGATGGGGAGAAGGGGGGGGTGTCCCTGCCGCCTACAGCCCTTCAGGCCCTATGCATAGCTCAGCCAAGGGGTAACTGGACCCCGGGCGGGAACCTGGAGGCTGGGGCACACCTGAGGATGTTCTCGATGCAGCTGCGCTGGCGGAAAAGCGCATTGATCACCGGGCTGCCCGGCGGCACCAGCGGCGCCTTGAAGAGGAAGCTGAGCAGGGACAGCACAGGGTGGAAGGTCTGCGGCTCGGGGTCGGCGTCAGTGCAGAAGCTCACGCGCTGGCACAGCTCGGTCAGCAGCGCCAGGTCTAGCATGATGGGTGCGGCCAGCAGGGAGTCCTGTGGGGTGGGCGGGTCAGGAGGTGGAGGAGGGTGGCCAAGCCCCGCCTCCCACAGCCCGGGAAGTGGCGCACCTCGCACGTGTTGTGCAGCACCAGTGTGTTGGTCCCGCCCAGCATTAGCTCCGACGTATACTCATCCAGCGCGCGCTTGCTGTCGCCCACGTACGGCACGTACTTGATGACCACCTGGGGTGCAGCAGGAGTTTGCCCGGGTCCCTGCCACCCCCCTTTGGGCAGCCCCGCACCCATGCCCGCGCCCCACGCACGCAGTGGTCGGGCTCCTCGCCGGGCGTGTAGAGCACGGGGTTGCTCTGCACCATGTCGTCCACTACGTTGCTCTTGGACACCTCCTTAGAGCGGAACTGCAACGGTGCCGACAGGTTCTGCCCGTCGTTGTTGCCCAGGTGGTTGTAACTCACGATGGACATGGTCTGTGAGTACAAGTGACGCCCCGGCAGCTGCAGGCCCTGCGGCCCCACAGGCCAAGTGCTCGCAGCCCAGGCCCTCTTCCTGCACTCGGGAGCCCCCTTGGCCCACGCACCTTGAGGCCAGAGCTGATGAGGAAGTCCACGAGCACAGACTTGACTTTGGTCTGGCCAGACTTGAAGTCATCTCCGCCCACGAAAACCCGGCGCTGACACGCGAGCTCAAGAGCTCCGGGCACCAGGGTGTTCTGCGGGGACCCATTGAGGAAGGCACAGCCCTCCAGGATGCTGGCGACGGCGAAGAGTGTGGAGGGAGACACCTCCAGGCCAAGCTGTGGGCAAGGTGGGCAGTCAGCACTGAACTTGTGTTTGAGCTGGCCCTGCCTGACCCGCTCCACCCGGGCGTGCACCCACCTCAATGGTGCGCAGCAGGTTCTCGGCCGTGTCGTTGAGGCCTGGAACCACCTCACAGAAGCGCTCTGTGTTGGCCGTCCACAGCACGATGACTTTATCCAGCCCCGCGCTAGACCGGAAGTCTCGGATGTCCTTGCGGATCTGCTCCAGCTGTGGGGAGGACGGAGAGGGTGTCGGGAGGACGGAGAGGGTGTGGGGAGGACGGGGAGGGTGTGGGGAGGACGGGGAGGGTGTGGGGAGGACGGGGAGGGTGTGGGGAGGACGGAGAGGGTGTGGGGAGGACGGAGAGGGTGTGGGGAGGACGGTGAGGGTGTGGGGAGGTTGGTTGTACATGCCCTTGGGCTCACAGAACCTGGGGCCATTCAGTTCCCAGGCTGTGAAGCAGGGCCTGGACTCATGGGGTGAGGCAAAAATGGGGAACCAAGTAGCAAAGAACAGGTGGCAGGAAGCAAGGAATGCGGAATGGGACAGGACCTGCTGCGCGCGCGAGCCCGGAATGAGATTGTCCGCGCGCGTGCTCTGGTTGGCCGCGATGAACTCGGGGATGTAGACGGAAGGCCGAGGCCGAAGGGCTTCCATGTGCGCCCACAGTTGCTCCTGCAGCTCCCAATCCAGCACCTTCGCGCGCCGCATCGCCTCGGCGAGGTTCAGCGACGAGATGTCCCAGCCTGGGGGGAACCCTCACACTCGGCCCTGCCCAGGTCCTGGGCCCCTCCAGCCCCCATCTCCCATCCCGCCCCTCCCCCAGCCCAGGGCTCCGCCCACCATCAAACACGAGGTCGTTGGGCGCCACCATGGGCAGCAGTGCACTGAAGGGCATAAACACCTCCTGGCCCTCGGCGTCCAAGCCCAGGCTCACGGTGCCCACCTGAGTCAGCGAGCCGTAGTAGTTGGCCTCCTGGGGGGCAGCAGACAAGGCGGGGTGACGAGAGGGCGTGGTGAACGCACCGCGACCCGGCCTGGGCCCCGCCTAGACTCGTAAGTCCCATCCCGCTTTCGGGCATTTTCAGTTCCGGGCTCTCAGCCAGGACGGAAGCCGCTGCCCCCAAGCCCCTCCCCCGAGACCTCCGGCACCTTAAGCTCCGCCCCTGTAAGACTCCCAAGGAGCCCCGAGTACCTCGCGAAACCCCTCCCCGGTGTCCGCCCGCAGCCAGGCCCCGCCCCCTGCAAGCCC